TAATTTGATATTAAATGTAACTAATTTGAAATGTAATATAAGTGAATAACATTTGATTCAAATAAACATTGAATATAAAAAAATAGATAACTCAAATGTCTAATAATTTATAAATATGTATAAATTATTTGAAATATGTATTTGAATAAAATCTTGATTTTATTATATAATATATTATAATAACTTGTTTTACAACATATTACTAATCATACACCAAGGTAATTGGCTTTACGTAACAGTCATCGGTTACCACACACCTCCCTGTGCTCTCATCCCAGACATACGGGTGCTTACACTGACACACATCTTGTAGACACCAATCAATACACTCCCAGTCCTTTTTAGTGTAGTTACTACAGGCCAGTGGACAGTATGTACCGCACCGTAAGAACTGTTCGTTCGGATCTTTGCAATCATGGATGGGCTCTATTAGGCAATCGTCGGTCACCACACACTTCCCGGTGCTCTCGTCCCTCACGTACGGGTGCTTACATTGGCACACATTGGGTACGCAATAATCAAGACAACTTCCGCTTTTAGTGAAGTTTTTACATGCGAGTGGACAGGGAGTGCCACACAGACGGAGTTCCTCGTGAGGGTCCTGACATTCTTGGGCTATAAATGGGACAAAATATTTAGTTTTTAATATAAAATATTTAAAAAATAATTATTACCAAAATAATAACCAAATAAAACACATAGGATTGCAATAATGAACTTCATATTATTATTAATATTTAACAATTGTATAAAGCTATGAATTCGTTGTAATTTTTGCATTTATTTTGCGATTTATATACCTTATAAAACTGGTGCACGTAAAGCACCTGTCTAAAGCTGGTGCACTTAAAGCACTATTAATTATTCTTATTAATAGTTATTTTCAATAATCACTAAAATTTTGAATCTCTGAAGCAACTAAATCCTGATTGATAAATTCAAACGTAAATGACTATCATTATCACAGTGTCACAGTGACTACGATTATCAAAGTGGAAATCCTATTTCAAAATGACAAAACTTTGAACATTTTAACAATAGTCAGTATTGAGATTAATGTTAAAATATCAAAGTTTTGTAACTGTCCGCATATAGTAGTGTGGCCCGCATTAGCACCTTGATAATTATTGACTATATTTTATAATTTGTAGTTTAGAACTCTATTAGTGAAATACCTTTGAAAAATTAAGTTTATATTAAAATTAATATTGGGTTAAATATTTCAATCAAACAGAATTGCACCCTGGTGATACAATTATATCCGTATATGTAAAATGAAAATAGAATTAAAAAATAATATTATACTGTATAGCTTTCAAGATTTGAGTTATCTATTTTTTTATATTCAATGTTTATTTGAATCAAATGTTATTCACTTATATTACATTTCAAATTAGTTACATTTAATATCAAATTATATATCATATTTATTTATTTAACATCGATCAATATGTACATTTTATAATGTTGTGATAGTAATCCCTTTATTCCACAAGAGTACTATAAAGGGGATCACAGTGTTGTGTATGTTATCTGTGTAGGTGTTGTATGTGTTCAGTATCGACCTTTGCTGTCAGTCGATACCCCCTTCTTGTGCAGGGAAATCCGGATTCTCTCATCATAAGTCATCAGGGCTATAGACTCATGTATCACTGATCAACCGGCAAACTGCATCCCGTAGTATAGAAGGGTTAGAAAAAACGCCTGTAATCCGAGTCCGGGGATCGAATCCGAGCGCCTCAGTCAAGCTAGCGCTACGCT